TTTTTTTTTTTTTTTTGGGGTGCATGTGGGGGTGAAAGAAATGCAACATCTCATTAATTGTTTGAAAGAAAGGAAGGCATTTCTTTCTAAAGGCTAGAATGTCAAAAGGTTTGAATCATGGATCTGCCGTAATTTAAAAAACACACAACTAGTCGTTTTCAAATGTGGTTCTTCTACTTAATTGATTTTGCCGCCAGAGGAATAAAATAAATAAAAAGATGCCTTCCCTGTGAATTCCTGGAGGTGGCTAAGACTCCGTTTGAATCTAATTGCTGCAAATGTGCTAGCTCGTTGCTGGTAATAGTTATTATAAAGGAGGTGTGTGTTGGGGGTGGGGAGAAGCAGTGGATTGGGGAGGGGGCAGGAGGCAGTGGCGAGGAAAGCTTGCTGTCAGCAGCTGCATATAGGAAGGCACAGGCTGCTTCCAGGATGGTGCTGCCCCCACCGCCTTCATCAGCACAAAAGATTTCTGTTGAAAGCTGTGCATGTAGGCTCTGTTTAAAAGTGTTTTATTCATATTTAATTGCTGGCTTGCTGCAGCTTCCGTCTTTAATTACTGTGTTAAGAAGCAGGATATAAAAAAGTACTTGCATTCAGTTCGTTTTCTTTTAATTTCTGCATATATTATGTGTTCCTTGACTGCTGGCTCTGGTAATATAGATGCAGGGGACAGGCAGTCCTCTGCTAAACCTGCTCAGCTGGTTGTTTTTTTAAGCTGGGGTCTAAGAAACTTTTGGGTGGGGAAGGAGTCAGGGTAGTCCTTCCTTAAAACCATCTCTAAGAAGAGAGTTCCTTGATGAGCCTTATTTCTCTCCTGCTTCTTTCTGACTGGTCCAGTCCTGTCCCATCCCATGGAGCTCTCTACATGTACCGCAGTGGCTGCCTCCTTTCCTAAGTGGGCTCTAACTTCTCACACAGTGAGATCCAGTGAAGCAGCTAGGTAATTTTACTGAATGAGGCTCCTTTGTAGTTGGCCATGTGTATCATTTCATTGTGATGCACACAGTTAAACCTGTACTTTCTGCCCTCCCACACTCTTTCATGCTTTTCTGACTACTTCTACATCTCTGATATGTATGAACAGCAGTAGCTTTATTTGCCGACTCTGATTTAAAAAAAAAGTATACTCTGAGCATGTGCAGTTTTGCATTCTAAACTCACATAAAGCCTGGTTGTTACTACAGAAATTTATTTATTTATTTAAAACATTTCTATCTCGTCCTTTGCATAGCCTCAGGATGGCTTACAACAATTAACATGGATTTTTTCCATGTTATAACATGGATTATACCATAGAAATAGCATGGATTTTTTTCCTGCTGCCTTGTTGCCCTCATCACCTGCCATTCACTGGGTGATAATGTGGGGAGTCCCCTGGGTTTTGGGCCCTGTGCTTGGTCCCCCAGTGCCCCACCTAGCTACATCACTGACCAGAACTATATTTATTTATTTAGAAAATTTCTATGCCGCCCCATTCACCGAAGCCTTGGGGCGGCTCACAAACATAAATAACTTCAATTAAAATAATATAAATTAACAGTATAAATTAAGTTGCCCTGGCCAAAGAATAAAATAAATAAATACTATTAACTGCATACTAATATATGCAGTGACCTGATCCTGTGACTTTTATAAGGGCAACTCAATAGGCTGGAAGAGCAGATGGGCAATGTTCGAGGTAGCCAGCTCTAAAGTTGAAATCCCTGGCCTCCTAGGGACCTTGAGTAGGGACCCATCAGTTGGTGAGAAGACAGATGGAAAGAAAGGCACCTGAAATGTGCAGGTGCTGTTATATGCAACCCAATGATAGACTTCTCCAAAATCATTGTGTTTCTTCAGAGTTCTCTATGTATCACATTATAGTGCACGTAATCACTCTAGTGTTCATATCCACGAATACAATAGTTATACAATCGCATATTTCTTACCTCCACCTATCTTAAACATAATTAAATGATTGAAAATTTAAATGTATTCAGTCCACTGAGTTCTATAAGGCCTATTCCCAGATGAGCTGGTATAGGACTGAAGCCTAAAACTTGGATGAGGAATTGACCAACAGTATAATCCTGTGTGTGTTTAAATAGAAATAAGTCTTGTAACTCCCAGCATGTCTGGCGGAGCAGTGCTTGGAGTGAGAACTTTTTCTATCTAACCATACATAGGAATGCGCTGTCATTCCTAAATTGTTTTCCTGAATCAGGCAACAATGCTAGATTTTCCCCATGTTAGTTGCAATGTGTAGATAAAATGTGCATTTTTATATACTGAAAATAACTCTGACTTTGTTTCCTGGCACACATGAAAGGAAAAGTCTCCAGCTTTCCCAGTAATGCTTTTTATATGCACTCGTTCAAACCTGACATTTTCCTCCTCCTCCTTGCAGATTAATGAATTGTTTGTAAGCTTTGAAGATGCTCCACTGGGGGCAGCATCCCTGGCCCAAGTCCACAAGGCTGTTCTACAGGATGGGAGGACAGTTGCGGTGAAAGTTCAGCATCCTAAAGTCCAAGCACAGAGTTCTAAGGATATTCTGCTGATGGAGGTATAACCATTTCTCTTAAGGAACAGTTCAGAGGCTATTCTTCAGTGACTGCTGCCACCATGATGAACATGTAGGGATAACTGGAGCAGCAGAGGAAGATAGTAATTTAAGACCCATCACCCTTGCGAAGCTTTGATACTGATTAGTAAATCCACACTAAACAGGGTGCTACTCTAATTGTTTCTTTTTGGTTTAAAAAAGTACCACACATCGGATTTGCAAACCGATAGCAGGACAACACAGAAAATAGTATGTATTGGCCAACACAGTATGCAATGGTTCGGCCATAACACCATATGTATCGTCCATAAAAAGAATGGATTGCTGATGGAAATTCTAGAATACTTTGTGAAGCAACCACTCTGTTCACAATTTTTTTTCTAAAATGTTGGACCAAGTCTGCTGTCAAGTGTATTCTTTTAGTAATTTTTATTAGAGCTGTATGCAGATGCATTTCTGTGAAACTTATTGGAGAACAAGAATGATTAGTGGTTCCCATTGTTTAGATTTATTGCAATAATTCATTGTTGTTTTTATGGAATTGAAGAGGCATGATCACCTTAGGTATATTACTTGAAGGGTGCAATCCTACATTATTTGGAGTCCCAGCTCACAGGTCCTGCAACTTTGGTGCTGGGACTCTGAACAAGGCACCTCTTCATCTCCCCTTCACAGCTGGCACAGAAAGAACCTTGCCAGCCACCTCTCTAAGGTGAGAAATTGGTTTGGAGAGAGCTAAAGCTGCTTTGAATTCCTTGATAGGAAAAAAGATGGGATATAAATATAATAAATAAAGAGGGATGCCAGGTGGGGGGCAGTGAGGGGAGGAGGCTGGAGCCAATGGCTTATGCACAACACCTCAACCTTCTTCCTCTTGCAGGGTTTCATTGATACAGCCAAAAATGGCCTTTTAGATGAAATGCACAGGGTGATGGCGATTGCTCCTGCCATGCCTTGTGCCCTGCACTAGATTCCTGTAAGCCTTCATGTTCAGACACTTATGTGCTTTGAGGGCAGAGGACATTGGATTGTGCCATAAAATTTTACAATATAAAACTAGATTAACAAAATGAGTTGTACTGAGAATGTTTGGTTTATGTGACCAGTCTGGGAAGTGTTTCATTTGTCTGCTGCTTTACATAAATCTGATTTTCATCTCTTGACTGTTCAGAATATTTTCCTGATTCAGCAAAGTTCTAGTTTAGCAGCATAAAGAGTGGTGCTAAGTTGACAGCCCTTAATTTAGACCTTTTTATTTCATGTTTTCTAAAGTCCGTTAGAACAAAACAGGACAGTGACCCATCAGCTCAGTAAAAGTGAAGGTGGAAAAAGACTCTAGTTCATTTGACCCAGCTCACAATTTTGATTTCACTCAGAGGCAGTTCACATGATCGCTTGGCTTGCCATGTATCGGTGACTTGTGAAGCCATCTCCTGACAATACCCATATGAAGGAGAGGTTCTCTGAAGAAGTCTGATATTCAGAGGGCTGACCTGTTATTGCAACTCTGCCATGGATCTCAAATATGCATGTGCTGTATATGTAATGTTCACATGACTCTCTTGCTCCATCTTCTAACTTTGAGCAGGAGGGCAGCTCCTCTACCCATCTGAAGGCTGAATTCCATTCCAGAGAAGCTTTCAGGGCCTCATTCCACTGGTGGGTGGGACTGAGGGCGAACAGGTAGGGCCACTCACCTTCCAAAGACAGTTTTAGCTTAAAGCTTTTACTGCTGCAGACTAAATCTTGGGAGAAGCACCCTAACCTTTTAATACTTGGGTGGAAGAGGGGCTGGGGCTGCAGAAAAGCCAGGAAACCACCCAAGAACTGAGGGTTGCAGGAATAGGATGGGGATTTCTGAAGCCCCAGAGGGCCAGCCAGACACCCCTGCAAAGCCAGATTTGGCTCTGGCCTGAGGTTCAGTAGCCCTGACTTAGACACTTGCACGAATCACTGCTGATGGATGGGTGCTTTTCCCATATTTGCTTCTGGTGTACAGTTTTGCAGGCTCCTATGCAGGAAATCCTGGAAAATGTGGTTCTTGTAGAGGAGACTTTCAGTATGGGCTTCCTGTTGTACTTTGGCACTGTATGCCATTCCCCAGGTGGTCCTGGAAACATGACGATCACATTGCTTGGTTTCAGATCCTTGTCTTGGCTGTGAAGCAGATCTTCCCAGATTTCGAGTTCATGTGGTTGGTAGATGAAGCTAAAAAGAACCTGCCTCTTGAGCTGGACTTCCTTAATGAGGGGAGAAATGCTGAAAAGGTGGCCAGCATGCTCAGATGCTTTGACTTTCTAAAGGTAATGTGTGTATGTGTGTGTAAGTGTATGTCTGCACATGTCTGTGCAGGTGCATCCAAAATGCATCTTGTTAGGGGTATGCAGAAATGATGCATTATTTGTTATGTAGGGAGAAATCTGTGAATGTGATTCTGATGGAGACACTGAATTTTAAATCCTAAGGATTCAAAGACTCATCAGACCAGGACAGAACAGCAGGAAGAGACAAAGTCTTAACTTTGTCTGGATGCACTGAGAAGAAAGAGGTGCTCACTTTTAAATACTAGTTTCAGCTACCTTAGCAGAAACTACAAAGAACAGCTGGGACACTCTGCTTTGCATTCACAGCTCACTAATTTCTGTCCCGCAGGATATCTTCAGCACTGGCACAACAGCTCCACATAAGCTCAATTTGGGTGGGCAGAATGGCCTCTGGGCACACAGAATAGTCTCCTGTATACCTGGCTAAGCATTGCCCGCTTCACCGTAGCTCAGAGCACATACCCACATTACAGGGAAGAAAACTGGAGATGTTTTACTAGGTCTGGGAAAGATGGTTTAGAGCATTAGTGCTAAACCAGAAGCACTGAGGTGTTCCTGAAGAAGCAAATACCCTTTGTTATTTTCAACAGAAATCCAGTTGTACAGACTGCCTGGTGTTGATACTGGCTTGCTTTCTTTGCTGTCAGTTGGAGGATCCACTCAATAGAAGCATCTCTATACATGTGTATTGTGTTTAGCAGAGTGCTCTTCTGGAGCAAGGTCTTCATGCAGGGTTGAAAGGAAGTGAATTCTTTTAGTTAGTTAATCTCTCCTTTTACCCAACCTTCTCTTGGGTGGTTCATGCTCCTTGGGACAGATTTCAAGGTTTATGCATGCCCTGACTTTTTCTTATCTTAACTATTGGGTTATCAGAGGGCACCTTTCATGAATTTCCTCTGAACAATGAAGAAGAAATTGAAATAAAACTGTAAGATTAGAGTGAAAAGGAGCAAATAGATCTGGATGAAATCTTGGCAATGGGGAAAGAATACTCCACTTTTATAACATATAAAAAAGATTGTATTCCTTGATGTTTTGTCAGTAATCCTCTGTGAGTGTGCACAGATGCATAACTCATAGCTGCTACCCAGAAGCAATCTCAGTTGCCTTCTACAGATACACTGGTACAATCACATTGAGTTGCCATGTACAGAGACACAGCTGCACACATCTCACCATATGTGTAATCCTATTTATAGAGTTGTATATGCCTGTACAGTAGCACACACAAACACACTTTTACTCTAGTTGCAAACCACAAGTGGGGTTGCATGCTGCCCTTCCCAGCTGCCACTGCTGAGCAAGGGCCAACTATGTGGGGGTGGGGTTCAATTTGCCAGTTTTCAAGAGAGCTGGAGAGTGGTCTTGCTGAAACCATTATAAGCTCTGCACAAGAGCAACATTGCAGAACTTGTGTTCATGAAAGAGGACCCTTTCTGCTCTAGGAAGAGGAAAATGCTGCATGCATCCATATACAGTATAGGCAGCCATAGTCCTGTGTAAAAGTGACTCCCAAAGCACACACGTTTATACAAAGTTCTTCTATACTGAATTATAATGTGGGTAGGTGGGTGGGACTGCTGAAATCCAGCCCAGGTCTTGGTCAATGCAAGAAAACTAGAACTAGAGCATACCCCACTGATGGCAGCCTAGCATCTATCTCAAGACCTCTAGCTAGGGAAAACCCACCAGCCCTCTGGTAAACAGTTCTATTGTCAAACTGCTCCCAGCATCAAGAAATTCCTCCAAAGGTTCAACTGAAACCTGCTCTCCTGTAACTTAAGCCGATTAGATCCAACCTTGCCCTCTGAGGCAACAAGTGCGCCAGGCATGATTGCCTCTGGACCATGCGAGAAGGCCAGCCCACGCATGAGGCACAGTGAGGCACCTGCATCAAGTGGTGGAGTGGGAGATGGGTGAATTGTGCTGTTCCTTCATCCCCACCAGGAAAACCCCTCGCCGCCGCCGCCGCCACCACTGGCAGTCTCCTGCCATGGCATTTACTGCTGCAAGGGAGTGACCAGCTGGCCTCTCTACAGCAGTCACCCATTCTCTGCTTCCCTCATCAAGAACTGCTCAGCCCGAAGAAGCACTTACTGGATTCTTGCAGGAGCTTGCCGGAGTCTGTGCAGCTCTGCACAGTGCTGGCTTGGTGCTAGCAGCGATAAGAGTGATGGAAAACAAGATGCAGGAATGAGAGGAGAGAAGTGGCAGAGACAGCACGTGCTCTTTCCCGCTTTAGACAGGAAGAGAGCTTGGGCAGGACTGCCATGATAGCTTAGCTGGGTTCAGCCAAGGGGATGTTGTAATGCACTCCATGTGGGGCTACCCTGAGGCTTGGTTTGGAAGGTGCACCTGGTTCAGACTGCAGGGGCGAGTGAGGCTTCTAACAGGGACCACCTCGTTCCAAGCTTTGCTGAAAGAACTGCACTGGCTGCCACATTTAAGGAGCTGTAAACATACAGAGCCTTAAACAACTTGGGATCAAGTCCCTTTACGGGCTTCCATCACCCCTTATGTCCCTGCTTGATCTCTGTGATCATCCAAGGAGGCACCTCTGAGAGTGTCACAGGAGCACTTTCAGGAGAGCATTTAACCTCACAACACTTACCCTTTCAGTGTGTTACCGGCTGTCCTCAGAGAGGCCCCTCCATTCTGACATTTTAACATCCTCTCAAGACTCATACCTTCACACACACTTTCTCTGAAGTGTGACCCAGCCAACCACAGTCTGTTACACACAATTTACAGTGGGACATTCATTTGCACTGTTGTGTCGTTCAGTCGTCACATTTTATTTCAGCTGGACGGAATGAGTAAAGTAAAACCGTCTTGGGGAAGGCTGCTTTAAAGGCCGTGCAGCTCCTCTCCCACACCTCCGCCTCGAGCTCTGTCACAGGGCCAGCCCTTTCCAGCCTTCGGTGGCACCCCACGGCACTCTGCCATAGTCCTTCTCCGCAGTGCTAGGCAAACAGGCCGTAAAAGGGCACAAAAGGCCAAAAGTGGACGGCTTATTCTAAGCGAATGTTTATCGAGAGCCTGGCGCCTCGGAGAGCTGTGTCTGTTGCGGCTGCAGCAGCTAGGAGAGTGTGGCGCAAATCCCCATGGAGACAGCCAATCACATCCTCGCCGGGTTAAAGAGCCGCTGCAATATCGATTCAGGGAATAATAACAGATTGCTGCAAAAATGGCTAAATAATAGATTTCCCCTGTCCAGCCTGTCGATTCCAAGACGTTTTCATCAGCCCCCAAGGCAACAAGGGAGTTGGCTCCCTGCGTGTGTGTGCGTTCGCGTGCATTTCCTGCGGGGGAAGCCCCACCCCCTGTAGCATAGCGGGGAAGTGGATTTCTCGCTGTGAATCCAGTTGAGCTTGTAAATCCAGAGATAAATTGTTTCCATGCAGAGGCATTAGGGCCAAACGTCTGTGCATAATTTAAGCTTGCCAAAGACTCTGATTTTGTGCAAGTGAGACTTACACGCAGCTTAATAATGACCACTGAGTGCTGCTGTAAATTTTGAAATGGAGACACATGTTGACTCAGGGTTAAAATAAGCAACAGCTTTTGGGATCAATGGATTTAGAGGCAGAGCATGGTAACAGCAGGGACTGGGGAAGCTGTTAGTGTCAGGATCCGTGTGCATTGGTTGTAGGGGTTTTGATTTGTCTTTAAATATAAAATGTGAAAAAGGGGCCCAGAGTTGGTTCTGAGCAAAACTGAAAGTTCAGGTCTTGCTTTTCACCTATGGCTTCAAATCTGCAATGTGTTTTAGATGGTGAACTGTGCTGGAGATAGGCCAGAAAAGCATGGTGGTGCAGACTAGGAGAAAGTTTGGAGATTATGACTGAGGAGCAATGGCATAGAGATTGTAACATTTCTTATAATTTGGAGCCTTTGCTTCAGAATGTTGCTTGTAATCAAGAGTGGCAACAGCTTTCTGACTGTTGTGAGCTTTGTTCGTCTCTTTCCCTTTCTCTCTGAACCCCCATCTCATGTAGGCACTTGCTTTGGGATATTGGGAATGACTCTGACCTGAAGTCACAGGAAGCAGATCAAGCCAACAGAAGTACCTCTCTCCCCTGCTGTACCTTGCTTAAACCAAGCTGTGCTGTGAGAGGGGCAGTTGGTAAATTGGGGGGGCAGGGAAGATTGGGGGGGGACTAGCTCTTGGCTACCAGGGCCTGGAAAACTCCGCTTGGATGCACCTGATGGGGATTCCAAGAAAAAGGGTCAGTAGGTGCATGGTCATATCACCATGTAAAGTGCCAGGTGGATCAAGATGGGATTCTGGCAGCTGGGCTCAGGAGCTTTAGTCCCTCTGCCAGCGTATTCATCAGTCCCCTTGCTTCTTTTTCTGTTGAACTGGAACCTGAACACTCTGCCTGCCTGTATCTGATTGTACCTCTTGCCTTTGGCCCTTCTGCTTGTTCCCCTTGGGGTTTGCCCTCTTGCTTGCTTATGGAATGTGCTCCTTGCCTCTTGCTCCTTTGAGCGCCATCTCTGGAAAGTGACCCTTGCTTGTCCTTGAGTGCTCTGTTTAGCCCTGGCCTCTCCAAGTGATTGCTTGCAGAGTTGACCCCTTTGAGCCCTGCCAGCAGAGAGAATAAAAGATACTCTGATTGAAAATGCATTGCTTCTGCAGGAAGGTAGTTAAGGATCTCCCAGGATTTTAAAAAGACACTTCATATTTATGAGGCATGGCTCTTCCCCTCTCCCTGAAATGATAGCCTGGAAGCCTGTGCATAGGGCTTGTTGGCTTGGCTGGTCTTTATGTAGAAGGATGCTTTAGAAATACAGAATGTACACAACTGTTTATTACTTACAGAGCAGTGTGAAACATGCACTGTGTGCCAGAAGTGAGACATGGATCCTCTACCAAGGAGCTGCATCTGTGAGTCAGATACATACAACAGGTAGCAGCAACCTTTGAGAAGGGGCGAGCATCTACATGCTTAGTGAGGTCAATCCAGGCTCATAAAACATCCAAAGACACATTCATGGGTCTTCATAATGTCCTGGATCCAGATGAATCCAGAGATATTTCTATGAACATAAAACACGGCCTCATGTTGAGTGAGACCTTTGGTCAGACCATCTCATCCAGCATTCCATTCGTACAGTGGCCAACCAGCTGCTAGCAATTGACATCAGAGTGCAGTCTTTGGTTTTGACCATTAAACTTCTAGATAAGACCCACCATCTAGGCTTCTCCAACATGTGATCTAATCAGCATAGTGATGGTCATAGTATCTAGTGATTAATAATATTGCATTTTATAGCTGTATTTCTATGGTTGTATTACTATTCTTAACTACATTGATAATTTATTGGAAAGTGGTATATAACCTGTAAAATAAATAGAAAACAAACCCACAAGCAGGGCATGCACTCTGTGTGTGTGTTCCTCAGCAAATGGTGTACAGATGCATCTTGTCTTTCATACTTAAAGTAGTATATATCAATCAAGACTAATTAGACATTAATTTTATTTATTTATTTCATTATTAGCGCACCTTTTCCTTTAAGGAGGCTAGGGTGACACATACAATTCTCCTCTTCTTGAGTGTTCCATCATGGACCTGTGAGGTAGATTGGGCTAAGAGTCAGTGACTGCCCCAAAGTCGCCCAGTGAGATTCATAGCTTAATGGGGACTAGAACCCACATTTCCCAAGTCTCTGCCCACACTCTAAGTACTAGGCCACACTTGTAGAGAGCTTCTCCTCCATTTCATCCAGTCCAATCTTCAGTGACTTTCCAGATTTTGAGGCATTAGAATCCTATAACCGAAGATCCTGAGGACTGGACCTGAGGCTTATATATGCAGACCATGGCGCTGAGCCCCAGTTCAGTGTCAGCATGCTTGATCATGTGCCTTTACAGTCTTTTCATTGTTGGGATGACATCCAAGCAATCACTGTTTTTGACTGAGTAGAATAGCATCTGGGAACACATACTGTGTCTTGACCTGCCCTTTTATTATTGGCAATGGGTGGCTTCTGCCTGCAAACTCCTTTCTTTTGGGTTGGGTTGGTTAGGTTTTGGTTAAGGGATTGGATCTCTATATTTCTGCTATTGTGGAACTTTCCATCAGCAATACCTATGCTGAAAAGCAAAGGTTGGCAGGTCTGAGCCTCACACTATTATTTTATTGATTGACTTAATTTGCAACTCACTTTTCTACCAACAAAAATGGCACTCAGCATGGCTTAAATAATGAGACTTGATTAAAATAATAGAACAAATGTATTAAAATACAATTAAAATCACACAATTTTTCACTGTGTTATTACATTACATTTATATCCTGCCTTTCTTCCTCTTGTAAGGAACCCAAGGCAGCTTACAAACTGCTGTTTCTCTCCGTTGTATTCTCACAACAACAACCCTGTGAGGTAGAGGAGAGTCTGTGACTGGCCCAAAGTCACCCAATAGGTTTTATGGCTGAGTGGGAACAAGAACACATAATTCCTAAGTCCCAGCCTAGCCCAGCAGTCTTAACCTTTACACCACACTGGCTTTCTCAAACCCCAAGATATGGTGCAAAGGAAGTGACTTAAATCTGAACAATTCTGAACCAATGATTTTTTCAGTATTAGACTTAAAATCCTTCTACGCAAAAATCTACTTCTGGTTTCCACTAGCTTTTTTGTTCCAGGAGTATAATTTAGAATGGTAGTTGGATGGCATGGCAGAGAGAGGAGTTGATTGATTGGTGCTGTTCTTACCTTGGGACACAGAAATCCTAGCTAATTTACTGTAAATAGTTCAACTCCCCAGAGATTCCAGTCTATCTTGTGTCATCTTCTGTTAGGAAGGATCAGGCAAAATCAGACACAGTGGGCAAATTTGCATGACACAACAAGCCATGGTGTTGTTGGTGTTTTTTTTTTAGCATTGCTGGTGATGTCATTTGTCCCCCATTATGGTATTTTGGCATGATACATTTGATGTTCAGTAACCATGAACAGAAACAGCCGTCTGTTCTATGGGTTCTTGGTACCACATTGGATTGTTGTGCCATCTAAACCTAGGAAGCAGAACTCATGGTTGTACCAAGGCCAGCACCAGAGAGCTGCTGAGAAAGAGTGGCCCATTGCAGCTCTTGGAAAGCAGTTGGCAAGAGGGCCTCACTGGCTGCTGCCATCTTGCAGAACTGTCAGAGGTGTTGCTGCTCCACCTGCCTCCAGCTCTAAAGAACTTCTTTGGGGCAGGAGCAGTGCCAACCATTCGGTCAGTTGGTGCTGGGGAAGGAGCAGTGCTGCTCCACTGATTCTCCCACTGTCCCTCTTGCAAATGAGCGGAGGGGTGAGCATCACCTGGTGGCGGTGCCCATTTTGGGGCAGTGCCCCTTCCATGTGTACCAGAGAGAAGCCACTTTTGCAAGTGAGTGGGAGGGGCAAGAATCAGCTGGGGGTGGTGCCCACCTGGGCGATGGACTGGGCTGCAGCCCCCAATACTCAGCCTACTGCCCTTTCTGAGTCCCCACCCAACCACCTTTCTGGCAAGTGGCAGTGGGAAGAGGGAGGTGGCACTCATCCCTTTCTCGCTCAGGTTTGCCAGAGAGGCATCTCCAGACTGAAGCCTGTGCAGCGGGACCTCCAGCTAACAATCTGGAGTGAGAACAGGGATCAGCAGGGGAATAAGCTGGGGTATGCAGCCCTCAACTGGGTGCTTGTGCATGGAAGGGGAACAGAGGGGGAAAGTAGTGCTGCCCCAGGGATCCCCCCCACTCCCTGTCTTGATCAGCTCCCTTATCCTCTTTGCTTCATTTCAAGGCGTGAGCCCCGTTAGCGCAGTAGACGCTACTTGACAGCTGTGGTGAACTCAACCCCATCCATGATTGTGGCTGTCAAAGTGACAGTCCTCATTCCTCCTGGGATTCTGCCTGGAGGACTGAGCGGGAAGGAGACGGTGGAAGGGAGTAGAATTATGCTGATGAGCCCAATCATCTGCCAGGCACAGTGACGTTAACAAATTGTGAATTTTGGTAACTGTGCAGGTTGCTTGTTATGATGTGTGAACCCAGGTGATGTGTCATTGGGCTGTCTCTCTTAGAAAGAGAGTTGAAGGATGTCCCACTTAGGTTTAGTGCTTGAGGTCTGAGGAGCAAAGGGACTAGATAAGGTTCACAACAGGTCTGCTTATTAACAAACATGAGTGTATCTTTACTGAAAGTTAGTATGGATATCACAGTGCTGAGAAAAAGTTACTTAAGTTGAGCAAGAGTATTTACACATTCAGAGTTACAAACCAGAAAGGTCCAGCACTGGCAGTTCTCCTGGGCTACTTAAAAACACAAACACATAGAATCTAAACATGACTCTGCAGAATCCTGGAAACTTTCCACTGTGTCTCATATTAATCATTCAGGTTTGGGTTGTTGTTTTTTCAAACTGCTGTTCCATCAGACATCTGATTGGCTACCACGGGAAACAGAATGCTCTACTGTATTGTACAGGCATATGATCCGATCCACCTCATGTGTTTCATTAACAGAAAATAAAAGGACACTCCAGGCTTTCAGCCCCACATGCTTTCTAACTAGGTTATCCAAAGGGAGGAAAGATCAGGGCTCCTGCACAACTTGGACTGGGTATTTCTGCAGGAGTGCATTTGACAAGCACCTAACAAAATGATGATTCAGCAACCATGATGGAGAGTTCACTCTGGCTGAGTTATGACAGCACTTTTGTCAAGAGTTCTTCTTGTGCTTTCTTCAAGTACCTGGACTTCTTCCACTTTCTGTGGGAAGTTCTCTATATCTAACACAGACACACTTTCTCTTCCACTTCTCCTCCTCTCATGGTATTCAGAGAGTTATGTTCCATTTCAGGTCCCTAAGATTTACTGGGAACTTTCAACGAGGCGTGTGCTGTTCATGGAGTTTATGGAAGGCGGGCAGGTGAATGACAAGGCCTACATGGAGAGAAATGGCATCAGTGTCAATGAGGTAATATTCCCTTTGTCTATGACATCAGCCAACATGACCAATGACCAAAGGTGCTGGAAATTCTAGTCCAAAGTAGCGAGTGGGTACAAGGCTGGCCTAAAGGATCCCTGGCTTTCTCAGGCAAATAGATTCATTTATTTCTCATTTCATTTTTATTCCTTATTTAAGCGAGTTATTCAGAATGACATACAGAAATAAAACTCTAAAACAATCACAGTTATAAACACAGTTAAAGCAATCAATAAAACAAAATTAACATTGGAGTAGAGCCCAGCAAATGTCTGTGGTAATGGCCCTGTCTTTTGCTGTTGATTGAAAAATTTACAAGGAAGGGGCTGACTGGACAGAGAGTTCCAAAACTGGGTACTGCAACTACAGAATGCAATAAAAGAATTGAGATGAACAAACTGGTGAAAGTGAAAAATATTTTCCAAAAATGTTCTGTTTCTTGTTTATAAGATTTATATCCCACCTTTTTCCTTACAACAAACTCAGAGTAGCATACAGCATTCTCTTCTTCCTGCTCTCAATCTTATCCCCACAACAACAACCCTGTGAGGTAGGGTGGGCTGGGTGGCCCAAAGTCACCCAGTTTGCTCCATGGCTGAGCAGAGACTAGAACCCAGATCACCTGAGTCCCAGTTCTGTACTCTTAACCACTACACCACACTGGCTGATGTTGAAGCAATATGGATTTTTCCCATGCACTTGTAGGATTGCAAACATAAGTATGGGCAAGAATGTATTGCTAGTCTTCCATAGTGAAAAAGTGTATGACATTTATTTATTTATTAAAACATTTCTATGCCGCCCCTTGCCAAGGCCTCGGGGTGGCTTACAACATCAAATACAAAATACATTAAAACAATGACATAAGCGGCACGAGGTGGCACTTTCTTAGAGGGCAATCCCATGGCAGCTGAATGGCAGCAGACAGCCATAGGAGTCTGTGGATTCCCAGCCATGAGGTCAGAAAACTGCTTTGACCTTGGAGTGAGGGATCCTTGCTTGGACTCGCTTCCCTTGCAGCAAGTGCAAAAAGAACAGACAGAGTGTTACAGGCATCCCCATAAGATTCCACCTTACATGTGGTACATTCTTATGCAATATATGTATCATTAGACATTGTCTGAACTCTTTCCAAGAAAGGACTTGATACTTTGCTTGGCTTACAGGTATGAGAAGACATGGCTTGTAAGAAGTTGCACAATTGTAGCAGCCATTGGCAGCATTGCAAATGCAGGCTGTCAGTCCTGGTGCCCTAGCCGTGCTCCAGCACAATTTGTGGTCTTCCAGGACTGAGTGAATAGCACCTTCCTTTTCAATTAAGTTTTGAGAGTTCCTCTGAAGGGGAGACCAAAGTGTCCATCCATTCAGAGTGAGGGCAGTCCTCACGATGATGGTATTGTTTTCTTTAGGCGATGTCTGCACATCATCACGTATGATTGGCTATATAGTGTCATGAAATAGTCGTTTGGTTGAGATTGTCCATTTGACTATTCTCAGGAAAGAAGCCCAGGAAAAAATGCCTCTGAAACAGTAGCAGAGAAGGGAAAGAGGGAAGAAAAAGGTGAATGCTTGTATAATGGGCAAGGGGTGTTGATAACCATTTTAGCATCTCCCAGAAGTCCTCAGTCCACAAAATGAAGTGAGTCTTCAGTCCAGCTCTACTTGTAATTTGTGTACTGGAGCTAAAGCAGCTTCCCCTATTAGTACCCCCATCCTGCCAAATTTAGGGATGTTTGTGTAGTTGCATTTTGTTCCAATTCAGTGTGATTTGTGGGGAAAGGAGCCTAGCTTCATCTGCAAGAGATACTTGTAGAAGCAGGTTTGGCCTGTTCATCTCACCCTCTGAGTCAGTGAATTCCGATTGAATTAGTGTTGCCCCTTCACCTCCCACCCTGGTGTGCTATTGATGAGTGTCAAAATGCCACTTGGCTGACTAGCTATCAAAGAGTGCCAGCATAAAATCAATTGCACTTAATCCATCTGTCTGTCTGTCTGTCTGTCTGTCTGTCCATCCGTCTGTTTGTCAGTCTTTCTCATGAAGCCTCAGTGCTCCCTCCCTGTCATCTTTTTATTCTGTGGGAGAGTCCACTCAGCATCAATTATAGACATTCCAAAATATATCCAGGGGGAATCAAGTCAAGTGTACTTTCTCCTCTAAGAGGCTACATCTGTACTCTCCTAGTTTCCACTGGAAGGAATTGCTCACAAATGTAAGTAAGCACACGCAAATCACATTAATGCACTAATTGCCAGTAGCGTGAAGGGAAATTAGTACTCAGAATCACTGCCTCATTGCTTTCCTGCCTCCATCAGGAAGACAGATATGTATGTGTTCAGTTATCTAAAAACCTGCCTGCTTAAGAACTGAAGTTAAGGCCATCCCATGTTGGTTCAAGCACACCAAAGCCAGGACCCTGGAAGCTTAAGCAGTGGCTTTTACTGGTGTGCCCCATCATCAGTTGTGATGTTGTGCAATGTCATGGATTGTGTTTGCTTACAGCTTACCCTCTATGCCGCGACACTTTTCTTGGGTCTTAAAGGCCCAAGTCTGATGGGGCGGATGGTATGCCTGGAACTGGCAACGTGGCCCCACATTGTTGTGATCCAGTATTGCTTTATGAAGCATCTGAACCTTACTCTGTTGCTAAAGGAACCTTTCTCTTAGTTGACCAAATGCCATTTTGTTGCTTTTACCATCAGGGTGGTTTTTTTTAATCATTGCATGTCTCCTGTTGTTAAAAAGGAAATCTATTATTAGAGTGTCCTGAAAGCACACACACAAAATACAAGTCACTACCTGAGCAGCTGTGTATGAAAGAATGGCTGCGACCCTGTATATTCAGAGTAGCTTACTTCTGAGGAAGACTGACTAGGATTCCAGCATCGCCATTTCCTTTTCCTCCCTCTCTTCATCAGTGAGCTGCCTGGCAGAATGACTCCCTCTTGTCTCAGTTGACAGTTTCCCACGATGCCTCCCTGTTCTCAGAATGCTGACAGCAATGCCGGAATTCCTCACGGTGCTCTCTAAAACACTGGAGTGCATTGGCAGCAGCAATCTAGCTTCAGAGTGAAACTGAGCATGCCCAATTGAGTTAAAAACTGAGTAAAAAGTACACCTCTGTCAATGTGCAGTACTTTTAAACTTGATTTATCTCTGGCAATTTGTATTGGTTTGAAGCTACATGAGTCTAAAGTTAGCTCTACAGTTGTAATTGTTATACTAGAGAATTTTGAGGCAGGACTCTTTTTTAATGACTATCTTCAATTAGTGTGTGTGTGTAAGCTAGATAGGCAGACTCAACTGACCTACTTTTACCACTTTTCTCAGTATCCGTGATGTCCCACATCCTGGCTCCTTTTGTTGTTGGATTCTTGGGCCTAGGTCTCAAGAGCTGCATGGAGAAAGGGACTTGTTGGATACTTGTGGGAATCCTAGTGCTTGCAGGCCCCAGCTGAACCTGGAACCTCCTTCCCATGCTGATCACATCCCAACTGGGGCACAAGCAGCCGGGAAGGGACTTGGCTGGGGTTTGCAGGATTAGAAGATTTAATCTGAGGCTGCCTTTCCATATTCTGTACTAACAGTAAATTATATCTGTCAGTTCTGTAGTGTGAAGACCATGAAATACAAACACCTGAAAGTTGGCATGCATACTCTGGGGTTACTTGGTTTTTAAAAATGCATTAATTGTTTTTGATTAGTATAGATGTATATGTCTGTTTTTGAAGCCTGCAGTATTCTCTTTGGTCACTAGATGAAAGACTTCCCTGACCAAATCATAGAATCATAGAAAAGAAGAGTTGGAAGGGGCCATGAAGGCCATCAAGTCCAACCCCCCTTCTGTTGCAGGACACCATGTTACACCACCCCACTCAGATGGCTGTCCAGTTTCTTTCTGAATGTCTCCAGTGTGGGAGAGCCCACCACCTCTCTAGGCAGCTGGTTCCACTGTTGCATTGCCCTGACAGTGAGGAAGCTTTTCCTGATATCTAGCCTGAATCTGGTTGTTACAGCTTGAATTGATTATTCCATGTCCTACACTCTGGTATCAGCAAGAAGAGATCTCCACCTTCCTCTTTTTGACAGCCTTTGAGGTACTTGTAGAGGGATATCATGTCCCCCCTCGGTCTTCTCTTCTCAAGACTGAACATGCCCAGTTCTCTCAGTGAATCCTCACAGGGCAGAGTTTCCAAACCCTGGATCATTTTTGTCACCCTCCACTGGACCTTTTCTAATTTACCTGCATCTTTCTTAAATCTTGGTGCCCAGTCCTGGACACAGTATTCCAGGTGAAGTGGCATAGTGTTGCAGTCAACACAGGTTGAAGCTGGGGAGAGTAGCTGAAAGGACAAAGTTATGTGTCTAACCCCCCTTCCTGCAGTAGGACAGCTTCCTTCCGAGGAAAAGAGTGGGCAGAACCCTCCTTCTGGAGGCTGCAGGAGTGCACTGTGGCAGGGAATACAACTAGGAGTTAATTCAACTATGAGATGGGTTGATGCCGTAAAAGAAGCTGCAGCCTTGAGTTTACAAGAGCTAAGCATGTCTGCCAAGGTCAGGATATTTTGGGTGGCATTCATCCATAGAGTTGCCGTAAGTTGGAAATGACTTGACAGCACATGACAGTAAGATACAGGGCTGCCTCTGAAGATGGGCCAGAAACTGCAACTGGTGGCAGCAAGATAGTGAACTGGGACCAGGGACTATGGACATACTACACTGGTCCTTCCTTGCCTGTGCTAGCTCCCAGTTTGTTGCTGGGCCTGATTCATAGTGTTCGTTCTGACTACACAGATCAAGACCTCTGTTGTTAGAGTGGCCTTCTGCAACCTCATGGATAGGCAACTCGTGACCCTCCAGATGTTCAATTGCAGTTCCCATAATTCCTCACAATTGGCTATGCTGGCTAGTACTGGTTGCAGTTGTAGTCCCACACATCTGGACTGCACAGCAGGTTGGGGAGGGTTGACCTGAAGGGACACCTTTTCCATTT